TACCCTAGAGCAGTGGTTAGCTAAAATAATCAAAGAATTAACAAAATAGGTTATTTTAGATTTATGCCATGAATCAAGAAATATTCAACCAGAGGTAAGCCATACCGGCCTAGAGGTTGAGGCAAAATGGGGCATAGGCCAGATACCAAGAGTGAGGACAAGACTGCAGGTGAGAGACAGAGAGAGCAGAGACTAAATGTACATGTGCACATATGCACAAGCACGCATAAGTGTACGCGGCACCTTTTGTCTACAAGTGAAATCAAGCAGATTTTTGAAGCACTCTACAATGCAATTCATCAACAGAGAACTTCCTGGATTAAAATCTTTGATTTCGCTCTTCAAGATTTTTTTTGGTCCTGTAAACTTCTTCAAAGGAAAAAAAAACAGGTCTACACAATGGGATTTGAAAGCAACTCTAGAAGTGGTTGGTTAAAGCCTTCAAGTGTAAGATAAAATTAAATCTGGTTTGGCTCTTGGGTCCACTCAAAAATAATTATTTAGGATAAGATAAAAAAAACATTGATCCAGCAGTACGCCCTGAAGCAAAATAAGAAACAGCATCTCATGGAAAGGTAGCTTCAGAACAGAATGCTATGAATATAATACAATCTGAAGTCCATTTTAGTATGACACACAAGCATGTATTCCATACTGTTAAAAAAGGAGGTTACAGTCAAATTTCCAGCACTTAATTCACATGCTTACTTAATGCAGTAAGTAAGAACGCTGGAATAACTGAGGCTCAAGATAGAAACTTGGGGGCTCTTGATCCAGTTGGAATAATAAAAATTTGATATCCTTCGCCTTATCGTGTCATCGAGATTTCTCAAAGTGTTTGTAAAGTGAATTGACTGTATTTTGTGGGCTGAATCAATGTAGTCCTCACAGCTTGGAACCAAATCATCGATGCAATGAATAATAATAATCCTTACATTTGATATAGTGCTTTATCACATCTTTGAGACGTCTCAAAGCACTTCACAGAATATATTAAGTTAATTGACTATATATTTTGTGGGCGAAGCGCGACAGCCAATGTCGCACAGCAGTGTCCCACAAACAGTCATGGATTGAAGTGACCAATTTTTTTTTGAAGGAATTATTACCCACGAAAAAGCAATCCACCAATTGACTAACACCTGGGTTCCTACTTACTGCTAGGTAAACAGAGGCGTGTGGAGTAAGAAAAGTTGCCCAACATTTCGTAATGAGTTGAGATCTTCAAGTTTCCTGTCGTAAAGATTTGTTTGCATAGATCACCACGCCTTGATTTTATAAAACAAACGTTCTTCAGAAAGGTTATTAAGGGAATAATAAAATAATCCTTGCATTTGAGATAGTGCTTTTCACATCCTCTAGACATCTCAAAGTGCTTCACAGAATATACTGTAAAGTGAATTGACTGTATATTTGTGGGCAAAACAAAAAGAAATGCAATTTTAAAAAAAATGACAAAGTGCTGCTATAAATTAAGAAAATGGTTTGAATCATGTTATAGGCAAAACTATTTTAGAACACTTGTCGCAACACACCCAACTTTAGTGGACGTTACCCAAAGGATTATAAGAAGAATCTAGATGAATATCTACAGAGGAATAATGAGCATGGAAGGGTATTGTGAAAAGGCGGGTAAATGGGACTGAATAGATATTCTTTCAAAAAAGCCACAATAAACACAATGTGCTGTACATTTCTATGGTTCTAGTTCAAGCTCCAATAAGACGATTTTCAGTCCAATGTTGAGATTTATTCATTCTGGCCACTTAACGGAGATACAATTTTTTCCCCGCAGCATCAAGATGCTTTCAACAGACAAGTGAGCTATGGTGAATCCCACCGCTATCTGACCGACACCATTATAAGGTATCTGCACTTCATTTTAAGCCCCAGCAACCTGGCTATAGTTCAAGGAACATTGGAGATAGGCAGAGATTGTTGCCGAGTGCAGGATAGCAGAGGCAACAAAATATGCTTATTGAAGGAAGCAGAACCTATGCTGACTGCTTCCTGGTTCTTTCTATAAATATAGAACACGGACAGATTGTCATTGGAGCCCAGGAGTGGAGTACTCATTCCAACCTGAACAGCAGAGGCACACGCCATTAAGGAACGGGAACAGCAATGCAACCAGAATAAATAAAACAAGTTACCGCCTGGAAAAATGAGCCAAATACTGGGGCACCGCCCAGTTTAGTTACTATGAAAATGGGTAGAAAAAAACATTTATTGCAAAGGGAAGATACCAATAAGGTGTAAAATATATAGAAGTAAGCACTGGATTATTACATTTCCTCTATCCCAAGCTAAGAAGCCAATTGTACCACCAACACCCAGCCAGGATCAACTTATTCAGCATAGACTAAGCACCTTCTAGGTCTGTATGATTCAGTTTCACTTGAGGTATTGGCTTCACCAACTGAGTCATCAGGGAAATCTAGCATCTGCTTCCTGCGCGCTGTGGTAGAAATCTATTCACACAGTCTCTTATCACAAATAAATGTCATTGCAGTAGTACCAGTCCTCCGGTGCTGTGTATCCTTCACTCAGCGTCAAGCTTACCTGCACCAAGTCACCACAGATATTTCATATACATCAGGTCCCTAATGGATTCACATAGCAATACACAGCCAGCAACAGTAACAAATACTGACAGCAAAAACTCTGCCAACCCTAGATAATGTTCAATTAACTTTATGGTCCTCAAGATATACAGTCAATCCTCTTTACAATACATTCTGTGAAATGACATTTAAATTCTGCAGGCTACATTCTGTAAGATAGCAATTGTAAACCTGCAAGTTCATTGAGTCTCAATTAAAAACTGTAAAATGAAACTTAAAAATTCACATTAAAAAAGTCACTCATTTCAAAATAACCAGAAAGTATTTTTTAAAATTTAGTTTCACTCAATTGATAGCACTCCCACCTCTGAGTCAGAATCGTTCATGTTTGAAAATCTCTCTCTCGCCCCTCCCACCCATCAAAATCATGGCATCTCAGATTTTCAGTTTAAACATTGCTCATTGAGGATGGATTTGTGAGATTTCACATCTGGGAGCTGGAGGGAGTTGAGAAGCTGGTGCAGCAGGCCTAAGAGTACATTTGTGAACCTCCGAGTGATGGGTGAGTTGTTGGAGGCAGCAACACAATCTAAGTGGCTGAGACCAGGAACCAGCCAGAAGGCGCAGCAGGCAGGCAAGGACTGAATCTTCCTGCTCTATCACAGGGCAAGCTGTAACCATCACGTTCCACAGGACGTTCCAGTAGGAGTCTTTCAAACACCGGTTTCCAATTAAGATCTTGGTAATCTGTTCAGAATTTGTTTCTCTCCAAATTAGACAAATTAATGTTTCAAATAATGCTGCACCACTTTGAGCCGACAGAAACGCATTATTTAGGTTACCCAACTGGAGAACCAGCGACATCATGTGATGTGACACAAGTTCAACTGCACGTGTTCAACTGCACGTCACATCCTGCAGATATTTCTCTTCAAAAATCTTCATTGTCGCATGATGCAGCGCTGTTTGTACAGAGAGTTTGGGGTCAGGTACGGTGGTGGGAGGAAGAAGGTGACCACCATCATTAAGATGAAGCTGTAACCATCCCTTCAGCTATCATGCCAGTGCTCTAACTAACCACTCTCACCTATATTTAGATAAACCAAAACTGTGGTCCAACCACCAGGAACACTTCGGCCACATTTATCAACATTAGGCTTTGCTGAAAATCTGCCAAGGCAACACACCGACGCACAGCACCAAAACATGCTCCATAGCAGATTCATGCTTCCCATACATCACCACCCAACATTAACTTCAGCGAGAATACCTTCTCTCAAATTAAACTCACTGCATTTTTGTTTACAAATTTTAAATATTGCAACAATATAAATTTGATTTTTTTAATATATATATATAATATATAGAGCACCTTTCACATCCAGAGGATGTCCCAAAGCCCCATTGTTCCTTACCAAAAGAAAAAAAAGTAAAAGGGGAATATAGCGCATAATTCTGATTTGTATATAAATCATATAATGCACAAGTCTGACCTGTATAAATCGCATAATTGCCCAAGTCATACATCTGCTCAAGTCCTGTTCAAGAGTTTATATTCTATGCAAGTTTGATATAACTCATACTAGTCATATTGTCCCAACTGATATAACTTATGTGAGGTTTTCTGTACTTCAAGGAAGTTTTTTTTTAAAAAAGTGTGGGAAAATCCCTTTATTTACTAAGTTGGATGAATTTAAAATACCTACCTGTTGTTTTTTTAAAAAAAAAGTATTTAGATACCTCTCAAACATGTTTTAACAGCCAAAGACATTTTTGCATTAAAAGGTTATTGGCCTACAGAACAATGTGTAATCATACACAGACTGAACACTCCCCGGCATGTGTTGTGGGCAAACATGTTTGTGGAACAAACTGTACTGGCATCTCAGTAACCTCGGCCCAAGTTTTCTGCACCTAGAAAAAGCGATGACAATAATACTTCTATTGACCAGGATTTACAACTGTTCAAGTTTGCATCAACCTTGAAACTAAGATACTGATTATCGTTCAAGGAAGTGCCACACAGGAGAGGTGAGGAGATGTGCACCGCTGAGGCCTGGTTGTTCAGGCTCCTCAGCACTGGGTGATGCAGCCCATGGCACCACAAGTCCCCAACCTCAAGCTATGCCTCAGGTGTAACTGCCAAGCAAAGGCCAGCATCGTCAGTGTGTGTAATCTGTCTTTTCACTCCGCTCCCCTCATCACCACCTGCACCCAACCCATAACTTAGTGGGTAAAGGCACTGGCATCAGATTTGGCCATATAGCATATTAGGTTGCAGGTTCACATCCCGGTCTGTTTTGAGTTAGTTGATCTCAGCTAAGCCTGAGAGTAAAGTAAAATTATATACAGTACAATAAAGTAATCAGTAACGTGTTTCATAACACAGACTATGCTCAACTCAATGACATATTCCTTTGAACTTCAGCTGCTTACCTTCACAAATGCGATCAAGTCGTGCTCGCTTTACTTTGTGTTTGTCCATGACAGGCACTGACATGAGGGTCACAGGTCCAGGTGAAAGGTCGACAACAACAAGGGTGATGTTTGTTTTCTTCCGCCCACACCAAAATTAGACACAACAGGCTTCAAAATGCATAGCTTTCAATATTTCCGAGTGCTCCTGGTCGCTTATCTGTTTTTAAAAGAAGAGAAATGTAGGTCATTCCACGTGCAGCAGGGACTTTCCCCAGAAGAAGTCAGTCAAGGACACAGTCAAGAAGCATTCAGCACCATGGAAGTCAGTATTCAAGATTGGACCATTCACTATCTCCAGTATTCTAGCACTTTTCATGTAACACCATTGGAGAACTATAGTGGCAGACACAGAGCAAGGAAGTAAGGACATTTAAAAGTTGACCAAACGCAAGGTCAGAAAAGATCTTTAGACGTAGGAAAACAGGGAGAGATTGTGACATGAAGTGGGTTTGGAAGAGTACTAAACTACAGGGCAGGAAGGCAAAGTCTCAGCTACTGATGAAATGGGCAGTGAGCAGTAGATCGGTCAGAAGAGATGACATGTCTGGAACGTTGAGCTGGAGAAGACTGCATAGTAGGGGTTCGATCGTGAAGCACAAAGATAATGTACTCAAACCTCAGCTACCAAGTCTGGATGAGCTGAAGTTGCCAGAGATTGGAGCTAAGGAAGCCAGCATGGAGAGCACTGGAATAACTTATCTATAAGGTGACGAACACATAGATTAAGGATTTCCGCAGACAGGGTGGGGAGGAGGTAAGAAGAATGAAGTAACAAGAGTAAACAGACAATGTTCCAGAGATGGGAAAAGTCAGTCTTGACAACAGACCAAATGTGCTGTTTGAAACAGTTCAGCAAGCTGAGGCTATACACTACCTAAGCAAACATTGAGAGGATTACAAATTCAGAGGCACATAGAAGCTGGCAAGAACCAAACAAGATGACTTCAGCCTTGCTAATGTTAACTGCAGAAACTGATGGCTTACCCAGAACTTGGGTCAATACACGCAGTCAAAGAAAAAGTCTGGGAATCAAGGGTAGTGGTGGAGATGTTGTGTTGGGTACCAGCAAACAATACTTCGACGTGAACCCAATGCATGCCGATACAATAACCAGTACAGAAGCGATGCTTTAATACAAGTGCTCAGTGGATATCTTAGTACATTGGTGTAATTGCACGAAAACAACCCACATTTCCTTGTTTACTCGTGTATTCACAAGCAGAGCATTTCAGTGATGTTTCCCCAGGCTAATCTAACTTCCCAGTGACACTTGAGGGCAAAAACAAAAACTGGAAATCTCAAGCAGAAACAGAAAATGCCAGTATGTACAGCAACGCCAATTGGGGCACAAATTCATTAGGTCTTTCAATTTACTAATTACAAATACAGTTGCCCTTTAAATAGATGGTATTTCCTCTTGTAAGCTAATTGTCGCTTGCTCAGGTTGCACCAGTTAATGTGTGATCAGGGAGCATCAAAATTGGCTTGACTGCACTTGGGTGGTGGGAGGAAAACATCAACCACCCCATCTGATTGCTAGCCAGTGATCCCCCTCCCCCTCACTGGAAAGTGAAGTGGGGTGTGTGTGTGTATATATAACACAAATACAGTCATCACACTTGTCCACATTTACCTGTACAACACAGATGTTTTGACATTAGATCAAATGTACGTGTTACCACAACGTGTGATTGTGGACTTCAGCAGGCAAGGACAAACAGTGACCACTGGTTTAGGCATGGAGAAAATGCTCAGGTCATTCTCTGTAAAACGACCAAATGTATCCAGAGCAACTTACATAGAATTACATAGATTGCACAACACCAAAACAAGGCCGTATGGCCCAACTAGTCTATCGTGCTGTTCATAATCCACATGGGCCGCCACCCCTCCTAATCCGCGCTCCCGTCTGGCTTAAATGCATTGATGTTTTCTGCTTCACGTACAGCTTCCTCCAGCGAGTGCCACCAACTCACTACCCTCCGTGAAAAGAAGCACCTCTTAAATTCTTTTAAATCTGCTAGTGGCTATCATATTTATGTACTCACCAACTATCTTTCTGCCTCCACACTCGACTCCAGGGCCACTAATATCCTGACAAGACTGCCTGTCAGACATCAAGTCCTCGATGAGAACCAACTTTCTACAGTTGAACGTCAGCAAGATGAGGCTCTGCTGATTGGCTCGCACCAACGCATCCGCCCCTCGGGCACTGGCAGAATCGGCATCCACGGATGCACACTCCACCTCACCAAGCCAGTCAGGAACCTAGGCGTCTTGTTTGACCCTCAACTATCCTTTCTCCCCCAGATCCTCTGCATACCCCTACCTCAGCAACATTGCCCGACTCCGCCACTACCTCACCCCTCAAGCTGCCAAAACCCTCATACAGGTCTTCACTACAACCAGCTCGACTATGCCAACTCCCTGCTTGTCCGCCTCCCCAGCTATTCCCTCCACAAGCTGCAGATCATCCAGAACTCATGTCCTCTCTCGCACCAGGCTCTGCAACCCATCACCCCCACCCAGCTCCCCATCCCTCAGAGGATCGAGTTCAAAATTCTCGTCCTCGCCTCCAAGGCCTTCCATGACCTTGCTCACTCCTACCTTTCCGACCTGCTAACCCCTTATCAACCTGTCCGCTCCCTCCACTCAGCAGGCTCTGGCCTGCTTCATGTCCCCCACCCAGCCCACCATCGGCAGTCGGGCTTTCAGTCTCTCTGCCCCCACCCTCCGGAACTCCACCCACATTCCCTTCGGTCCCTCCCTTTCCTCCATCAAGGCATGCCTCAAGACCTTCCTCTTCGACCATGCCTTCTGCCACCCACCTACCCCAACCCTCAGTGATCCCAACACCCCAGCTCGGGCCCTAATCCCTGGCTGTTCAGCACCTTGGAACATCCTCTCAATGTGCAAGGTGCTTTACGAATGTAATTCTGTATTGTATTCTACAAGTTGGCAGCCTATTTATGTCCAGCTCATCGAACCAGAACAGCACACAAATGTGGTCCAATCAAGGCATTGTAAATTTAATATTACTTCCTTACTTTTATTTCAATTCCTCTAGACATACAGATAAGGACTCAATTTACATTCTTTATGGTCTTGTCCATCTGTGTAACTATTTTAAGAGTCTTGTGAACTTGAAAGTCCTGATCTCTTTGCTTCTCTAACCCCATGGAATAGACAGCTTCTTCTTTATTCCTTCTACAAAAACGAATTCACTCATTTCTCTATATTAAACATCATTTACCACCTACCTACCCATCCCTTGTGCAAACCCGTTTGTCTTTTTGCAATCTTTGTCATTATTTACCATATGCCTCCCCCAACCCTCGGGTTTGGTGTTTTCTGCAAATTACAATGTTATCACGTTGCCTGTACATTCAAGAGTGTCTGTAGTCTAAAGTATCTAAAAGAAGCAGAGGGGAGGTGAGAAGAATTTTTTTCACTCAGCGAGTTGTTCGAATCTGGAACGCATTGCCTGAAAGGATGGTCGAGGCCGATTCGATAACTACTTTTAAAAACGCGGTGGACGGGTATTTGAGGAGGACGGGTTTGCAGGGTTATGGGGAAAGGGCTGGGGAGTGGGACTGACATTAATTGCTCTATTCAAAGAGCTGACACGGACTCAATGGGCTGAATGGCCTCTTTTTGTGCTGTACAATTCTATGATTCTATGAAATACAAATTCTGTCCTCATGACACTCCTCAAGTCATGAAACTTCAAGATCAAAATCAACACTGACAGCACCAAAAACATGGAATAGTGCCCATAATAAGCTTCATCGGCAGGAAAATGGGCTTTTGAAGTAACAACAACAACAAAATTACATTTGTGTAGCGCCTTTCGCGTTGGGAGGATATCCCAAGGCATTGGACAGAGAGAGTTTTGGACCTGAGCTGGGGGTCGGGATCGGGGAGGGTGGTGGGCGGGGTGGGGGGGGGGTGTGGGAAGAAGGGTGATCAAAACCACGGTCGAAGAGGAAATCTTGAGATGGGTCTTGAAGGAGGCAAGGAAGGGGACGATGCGGAGGGACTGCGGGATGGAGTTCCAGAGGGTGGGTCAGATAATATAACAGCAACAATCATTGCAACCAGTGTCCAAGTTTGTAAGTTTGATCGTTCACTCATTCATTGTAAAGGAATTAGGAATTGATTAGGTCAGTGGTGTTGGGTTTGGAAGGCGTTGATTTATTAATTTAACAAACATTCCTTCACTTTCTCACCATCAACATACTGGAAGATCCAATTGTGTAGCCATGCTTGTTTCAGACGACTGACAGGTTTTCTTCCCATCAAGAAAGCAGTCGACATGAGCATATACATTCACAAGTGGTTCTAAACACTAGGCGAATGTAGGAGCACTTCCTGTTCAACTGCTTTTACTTGTAGAAAGAAACCAGTCAACCACAGTTCAAGCAGGCGCTTCCTCAACACAAAGCTTCAGGAAACACAAATTACACCAGAATTTGCTGCTCTGCATTGGTCTTGGTCACCACCCCATGCACACTTGAAGAAATCGATATGGGCTGCAACTCAATCCTCAGAGATACCTGTCAAAATATACATTTATGACTCTCTCTCCACCACACCTCCAACCAAACAATCAGAGGGAGTACCTCAAATAGAAATTACGCAACCTATCCAACCTTCCCTGCCCTTTGAGTATTTTTCTACACAAATCAGAATTTTTTTTAGGGGTTATTACCCCGGGAAAGCAATCCGCCAAGCGACCAACAACTGGGTTCCTTCTTACTGATAAGTAAATAGAGGCATATGGAATAAGAAAACTTGCCGAAGGTTTCGCCCGGCCCGGGAATCAAACCCAGATCCTCTCTCCACTGTACTACACGACTCTTTCTAATCAGCACCTCATTGCCACTGAAAAGAACAGGAGAGCAAAAGTGAAGAAAATAATGTAGCTCCAGTTCTCTTCTAAGGGGAACATCATCATGGATAACACGCCCACATTCTCCCCTGCCCAGGGGTGCCAAGGACAATCGTCGTCCAATTTTAATCTAAAGCGTTCCTTTTCCAATAAAACAAGGGAGGTGAAATAGGGAGAAGGGGGAGGAAGGGAGGGAGGTTGAAATTTATGAAGACCCCCACTGCTCCCAAATCTCATTCTTCTGTCTGTCCAGTGTAAAAGCATACCTGCAGAAACCCAACACAGTATGATTTAACCAGACCTACAGCCACAGACACGATTGAGGACCAGCAACTACCCTGTCCCAGAATAGTGTATCTTTCTCCTCTTCTTCAGTGTTCAAACAGATATTAAATAGATCATACACATAGTCCAGCGGACACTTTCAAACAAAAAAACCTGCTCAACAAGAGAAGACATACTTTCCTACAGACTAGAGGAGGTGAGATGGAGGAAAATAATGAATAAATAATTAAGTAGTGCATTGGTAGTAAGTTGGAATCATTGCCCATTTTGGAGATGGCACAGCGAACATCAGTAGGCATCACACAACCCATTGCAAGTCATAAAGGTACTGCATGTGTGCAGATGGTTCCACCGGTGCACATCAGGCTTCATAATGTAACATTGCACAACAAAGCATTACTAAGCTGTCTAAAAACTACCAGTTCTAGTTATGAATTTTATAGACAATTTAGTTCTGTAATTTTTCAGGATCACTTTCCTGATAGCAAAAAATGGGGCAGTTTTCAAACTTAAGCAAGAACCCATAAAACTTTAAACTAATAAGCACTAACAAAGTTTGCGTGTTTAGAAACAACGCTAACTTGCTATCAAATTAACATTAGTGTTGTTGCATCTGGTGCACCCATATAAGCCTGCTCTGGAGAACTTTGTTTTCAGTCATTTTGAGTGGGAGACTTATGAATCATGCCAACTTGTCTATTTTCATTATTAGGCAAATGCTGGAACCAATCAAAAAGGGGAAAAAAAAACCATTGCACTGGCACAAACCTGGTGTTTAATAATGGCTGGCAACACCAAGTCTCAAAGGACAAGATGGTTTCCTGTTCTATTCAGTTTCACTGGAATCCCAGTGAGTAGGAATGGAGGTACAATATCCCTAAGAGATAAAAATAGAACAGGAAATTAGATATGTCTAGAAGTCAGTCACCTTCTGGCTGGCTACATGGGCACTGCCAATATTGTAGGAACATGCCTAATTGCCACTGCAGCATTAATGCCAAGTGAAGCAGTGGTGTGAATCATAAATTCTTAAAGCATAGGAACAGGCCATAATAAGAAACGTACAATTTATTTTTCTACAATTTCTTCCTCTACATTCATACACACATGTTGTACCATGTACGTGAAGTAGGATAGTGGAAGAGGAGTCTGCACCACCAGGGGTTCTGGTGTCTAAAACTATTTGCTCTAGTTATAATATTAGAGGGTTCCGACAAAAGGCTGGATATACAGCATTACAGCAGAGGCAAGAGAAACACAGGAGCAGAAATCACTTGAGGGCTTATTTCAGGGAAGGGCCGGCAAGGAGGTAAAAAAAAAGTGGTAGAACTGAGCAGCCGGGCATTGGACGATATTCTCAGGATATCTCTGGTTCGCACATGTTGAAGGGAAGATGCATCCCTTTTGGTACTGAGATAGCAATTGTTCCAGTCATGACAGGAGTTTGCCCCTCACTCGTCAAAAAATGTATCAGCTGTAAAGCTCAGCACCACAGGATGGGAGGGCACCCGATTAAATTTCCAACAAGCAGAACAATATCAAGGTGGAAACGTTCGAGACAGAGTCCAATCTCAACAAAAGATCCGAATACCAAAGAGCGTCACCATTGGTTACAATGTAAGTTGGAAAAGCTAATAAAAAATAGTTTATAATATAATGCTTTCATTTGACCTAGCACCTTCACCATGTTATCGAGACCTCTCAAAGCACTTCACAAGATATAATGTAAAGTGATATGATTGTTTCTATTTTGTGGAAGAGCACAGACAAATGGGCCCTCAGTTTAACATTTCATCAGAAGCACACCACCCCCAGCACTGCACTCGGCGATGATATGGGTTCCACATTCTGAGTTGGGGCTTAAACGCATTTCATTCCGACCCTGACTGAGGCAAAAATACTACTTACTGAGCCAGGCTGACAGTTTGGCTCAGTTGATAGCACTCTCGGTCAGAAAGTTCAAGCCCCACTTTGAGGCATGAGCTCATTGTCCAAGCTAACACTCCAGTGCAGTGCTGGAGAGCTCTGGTTTGTCAGATGTGCCGTCCTTCCGATGAGAGGTCACATTTAACAGTTCATTTGGAATTTAAAAACCACACTATACTACAGATACTAAAAAACAACTTCCTGGCAAACAATCCTCCAGAGAAAAATGCTTCATAGTTGTTTATGGGTGTTTGCTGTGCACAAAATGGCTGCCACATGTCTACAATTAGAGAGTCACTACAGTTGAAGCAATTACCAGTGAAGCACTTTCAGACATAGATATTTTGGTGCTACACCAAATAAAGGAATTATATGCATTTATTAAAAAGTTATTTTCCAAGAGTGAATAAAGTCACAAGTCAGTCATAGTACAAAGTGTATATAACTTTACAATAACAGTTTCAGAATGAGTGAAAGATCATTTAAAGTGTTTAATTGATAAGGTGAGAAAGTGTACGTTTACTTTTGCTCAGGTCTGCATTACATATTTTTGTTTTGACCTCAAGTAAATGTCACGCTCCTGACTCACAGCAGTCTCAGCGCAATAAAATACAAAACCCTCAACTTTTGCAAGACGTCTACACAATGCCATGCATTGATGCATCACACAAATTTTCACAAATATCAAACTCATCCAAGTAGCTGGAACCACAAGTAAGTCATAGTTCCCATAATCCATAAATCACCAAGGCACAAAAATCAATTAAGTACTCAATTCTGCATGCTTATTTGTAACTTTAATTTCCCTGGAACTCCACATTTACCTTACAAAACCGTGTAAAGGAAGGAGACTAATTTTACAAGTGAAGTTAATGTTGTAAAAGTGTTCCAACTTATTTCACCATCATTCTTAACTGGTTATATAGTTTTGTCAGATACCTTGCCTGGACTTTATACAGTGTCATAATGTCATACTGGAAAAGAAATGAATAAAAAAACATGAACCACACCAGATTGCATCACCATGTGGAGCTGAAAAGGATACTTCGTCAATAATTACTCAGGAAGCACCACGAGATTGGACAGACTTTCAGTTCAAAATCAGCAGGAATTTATTATAAATAATTTTAGATGCAGTTACTGCAATGCAGTCGGTTTTACTGTTGGATTATTTTGCTAATAACCGCATTCTAAAAATGTTTCGCTTCCAATCCAGTTAACAAACAAATATTGTGCGGCTTCATCACTTCAGACCATCTTCTTTTTGTAGAAGTGCGGTGTTTTCTTTTAATGCCAACAGCTGCCTCTCCAGTCCGCACAGTTGTTTTAATAACTTTTCTCTGGTTTGACTGACTGACTGAGGACGGGCCTTGGAAGTTTGGTGCGGCGTTCGCACTCGATCGATAGATCCCCACTTCGGACGAGCGCAGATTAGACCGATTTCCCCCCTTCTCGAACAGAGAAACTACATTCAAAGTTCAGTATCCCCTCTGTTACCTTAATCTCCGTTCTCCGGCGCCTTTGCCTCCCGACAAACTCTGGTATCTCCTTAAACCATGCTGTTTCCTGTTGGCCCCTCACAGCGAGGCTGCTCCTACCGGAAATACAACAACAAGCGGTTATAAATAACATGGGGCAGAACGGCGCGCGGCCGCCGAGCCGCTCCGGGGTGTCCGGGCAGACAGCGCTGTGTGGACGGGACCCCCCGGGGCTCACACTTTGTTATACGGATCCACTCACTCTGGTCACAGTGCCGCCGCCGCCTCTCCGCGCGCCCAAGAGGAACCCCGCGTCACACGTCAGACGCAACACCGCCGCCGTCTCACGCAGCACGAGCCCAATTTTCTCCTCTCGCTCCCGCCTTCCATGACGTCATGGGCGCTGGCGTCTATAAAAGGAGCCTTCCAGCTGTGATAGGGATAGCATGGGGGGAGGGCCTAGCTGTGGGGGGAGGGACTAGCTGTGGGGGGAGGGACTAGCTGTGGGGGGAGGGACTAGCTGTGGGGGGAGGGACTAGCTGTGGGGGGAGGGACTAGCTGTGGGGGGAGGGACTAGCTGTGGGGGGAGGGACTAGCTGTGGGGGGAGGGACTATCCCACCCTCGCTCGCCTCCACTGGCTCCCCATCCCCCAGAGGATTGATTTCAAGATCCTCACCCTCACCTACAAGGCCATTCACGGCCTCGCTCCCTCCTACCTCTCCGACCTACTATCCCCCTACCTACCTGCCCGTACCCTCCGTTCCTCCGGCTCCGGTGTGCTCCATGTCCCCCGCCCCAACCGCCCTACCATCGGTGGTCGGGCCTTCAGCCTCTCAGCCCCGAGGCTCTGGAACTCCATCCCCCAGTGCCTTCGCCGCTTCCTCCCTCTCCTCCTTCAAGGCCGGTCTCAAAACCTTTCTCTTCGACCGTGCCTTCAGCTCCCCTCTCGACTCTCTACCCCCCCTTCCCTCCCCTCACCCTGACCATTTCCCCCCTCCTCGCTCCCTCCCTTCACCCTGACCATTTCCCCCCAATGCTCGGGTCATGACCCAACTGTGCAGCGCCTTGGGACGTCCTCCTGACATGAAAGGCGCTTTATAAATGGAATCTTGTTGTTGTGGGGGGAGGAACTACCTGTGGGGGGAGGGACTAGCTGTGGGAGAGGGACTAGCTGTGGGGGGAGGGACTAGCTGTGGGGGGGGACTAGCTGTGGGGGGGGACTAGCTGTGGGGGGGGACTAGCTGTGGGGGGGGACTAGCTGTGGGGGGAGGGACTAGCTGTGGTGGGAGGGACTAGCTGTGGGGGGAGGGACTAGCTGTGGGAGAGGGACGAGCTGTGGGGGAGGGACTAGCTGTGGGGGGGACTAGCTGTGGGGGAGGGACTGGCTGTGGGGGGGACAAGCTGTGGGGGAGGGACTAGCTGTGGGGGGAGGGACTAGCTGTGGGGGGAGGGACTAGCTGTGGGGGGAGGGACTGGCTATGGGGGAGGGACTGGCTGTGGGGGGAGGGACTTACTGTGGGGGAGGGTATAGCTGTGGGGGGAGGGACTAACTGTGGGGGAGGGACTAACTGTGGGGGAGGGACTAACTGTGGGGAGGGACTAACTGTGGGGGAGGGACTAACTGTGGGGGGAGGGACTAGCTGTGGGGGGAGGGACTAGCTGTGGGGGGAGGGACAAGCTGTGGGGGGGGACAAGCTGTGGGGGGGACTAGCTGTGGGGGAGGGACTAGCTGTGGGAGAGGGACTAGCTGTGGGGGAGGGACTAGCTGCGGGGGGAGGGACTGGCTATGGGGGAGGGACTGGCTGTGGGGGAGGGACTGGCTGTGGGGGGAGGGACTTACTGTGGGGGAGGGTATAGCTGTGGGGGAGGGACTAACTGTGGGGGAGGGACTAACTGTGGGGAGGGACTAACTGTGGGGGAGGGACTAACTGTGGGGGAGGGACTAACTGTGGGGGGAGGGACTAACTGTGGGGGAGGGACTAGCTGTGGGGGGAGGGACTAGCTGTGGGGGAGGGACTAGCTGTGGGGGGAGGGACTAGCTGTGGGGGAGGACTAGCTGTGGGGGAGGGACTAACTATGTGGGGGGAGGGACTATTTGTGGGGGAGGGACTATTGTGGGGGAGGGACTAGCTGTGGGGGAGGGACTAGCTGTGGGGGAGGGACTAGCTGTGGGGGGAGGGACTAGCTGTGGGGGAGGGACTAGCTGTGGGGGAGGGGCTAACTGTGGGGGAGGGACTAGCTGTGGGGGAGGGACTAGCTGTGGGGGGAGGGACTAGCTGTGGGGGGAGGGACTAGCTGTGGGGGGAGGGACTAGCTGTGGGGGAGGGACTAGCTGTGGGGGAGGGACTAGCTGTGGGGGGAGGGACTAGCTGTGGGGGGAGGGACTAGCTGTGGGGGAGGGACTAGCTGTGGGGGAGGGACTAGCTGTGGGGGAGGGACCGCTGGGGGAGGGGTTTACCAGGTGGAGTGGCGAGTCTGGGGTGGGGTTAGTCTGGTTTGTGTAGCAGTAGTTTTGGGGCCCAGTCTCCCTGTTCACAGGGATCAATTACCCCCCAAACCCCTCCCCCCACACCCCTCCCCCCCAGTCACTGGGGGCAATCCTGATTGGCACAGGACAGATATTTGAATCTTTGCCCCTTTGCCTCGGAGACCTTCTTGATTTAATTCAAACTTCCTGGACATACTGAGGTAATGAGCATGAACAGGGCTCAGTTCTGAGACACTTTTCTAAATTTGCTGCAGAATTAGTTTCAGGAATGAGAAAATTAAAGCCTTGACAACTGAGTCAGTGGAGAGCTCTGTTCTTGATTGATATGCATCACAATCATCTACTTTTATTATAAACCTGATTAACTCACAGAAATCATTCAAAAGGTAAATTGCTCTGCCCCATTGGTATATCACTCTTCAGATGGCCCTTTTATTTAATTTTTTTATTTTGTCTTTTGTTTGTGCTGTATGAAAGTATGATGGAAAGTATATTACATTGAATAACTTGGGTCCCAATGACATTATGAGCTGATACCCGGCCTGAAGGAATGATATCTATCTAAAAGATTTGATGTAAGTCCTTAGGAGGTGAAGAGAATGGTGGGAGAGGAAGGAGCGCAGCAACAACTCCTTCCAGGACCTTGGAAAGGAAAGAGAGGTTGGAGATGGGGGATAGTATGGGATCAAGAATGGGTCCATCTAGTTTTGCAGCATGGAGTGTGATTCCCACAAGGTGGTGCAACATTAGACATACTTTTGTCATGCTGATGAGAGGTTCAACCTAAGCCCATCTGCTTTATTTTCCAGATAGATGTTGAAGTTCCATGACACTAAGGGAAATAAGAAGGGAGTTTTTCCCACTTGTGCTAGCCAACAATCCTTCAGACAAAATTAGTCACTCTCTTCGTGGGTGTTTTTTAGGATTGTCTATTTACAAAATTATTATTTGTTTGTTATGTTGGGGCGGGAGCGAGGGGGTTTGGTCTGACACCCATCACCATGCATAACAATATCCAAACCAGACTAAGAGTTCCACATATGTATGGTATCTACAGATGGAAATTTCCTTGTTATAGCACTTCTCTCAAAAACACTTGACGATAATTATTCTGATACAGTATTATAAAAACTCCCCTGTTCTTTGTTTATAAAAAGTGACTGTTTCTCTGTTTCAAGTGCTTGAAATAGGTAATAATCCCTTAAAAAAAAATAATTTGATCACTCAATCCACAACTGTTTGTGGGCCACTGCTGTGCGTAATTGGCTGCCAGGTTTCACCCACAAAATATACAGTCAATTTACTTTACAATATATTCTTCGCTTTGAAAAAGACTTTTAAGGCGTTATATCAAATGCACGTATTATTATTAAGGCAACTCAACAACAACCAGCTTTTCAGAACCTGTTTCATTCATAACCACAGAGGTCTTCAACGAACACAGATGTTGCATCAGTATGAAACATCTGTGTACACCCTCCCTGAACCCTCGCGCCCCAGAAATAACTCTGGTTCAACTCACCATAAATTGAACCTGGGACCTTCCTGTATGGTTCATGCTAGTAACATACCAGACCGTAACGATGCATTTCAACACTGAGGGAACTCATTCCTCTTTTGTTGTTGTTTTTGTTAATAAAACATACTCTAGAATTGGTCCATCTTTGGACAGATGTTGCTTTGGCCACCTACAGGAGTCAAAATAGGTACAACTGCACTATCCCTCAGATTAATATTTGTGTCATAATGAGTGGAAACTGCATTGATCTATAAATGATTAGAAGGAATAATATGGTCAGTGTAGGTTATCTCACATTATAAAATACAATACTTCAGGGGCTAATTGTACAGAGGTGATTGATGTCCACTTTAACTACCAGATAAACTGTAGATTAACTTTGATATGTAGTTATTGTTCATCTACAACAACAACAACTTGGATTTATATAGCACCCTCCATGCCGGACGGTGTCTCAGAGCGCTTCACAGTAACAGATCTCGGGGCCGAGCCAGGGGGAGAGGTGGGAAGGTGACCAAAGGCGTGATCGAAAAGAAAGGTCTTCAGCAGAGACCTGAAAATGGGAAGGGAGTGAGCGAGACAAAGGGAGTGAGGAAGGCAGTTCCAGAGCCTCGGGGCATAGTGGCTGAAGGCACGACCGCCGAGGGTGGAGCGGAGGACTCGGGGAACAAGGAGGAACGAAGGCAACGGGTACTGTTTTGAGGAGAGACGAAGTCAGAAAGGTCGGGGGGTGCAGAGGAGTGCAGGGGCTTGAATACAAGGGTGAGGATCTTGTTCATCTCCCTTAAACTAAAGTAACATTTCACAATAGATTTAATAATAATAATCCTTGCATTTGATATAGCGCCTTATCATATTGTTGAGTCATCTCAAAACCAGAATCTGCCTAGAAGGTTATGCTTGACGACTTAGTTGAGGAAGGGCAGGAGGAGGCTCATGTGGAGCATAAACACCAGACGAGTTGGACCGAATTGCCTGTTTCTGTGCTGTATAGTCTAATGTATTTTCAATATTCTCAATGAAATAATTACCGTTATGTGTCAATGTGTACAAAAATGTATTCTAATGTAAAATATTTCGCAGAATATACTGTAAAATGAATGGACTGTATATTTTGTGGGCAAATATTATATTATCACATCAAAACTGTTGTGAAATGTCCTAATTTTTACCCCTATATCACAAAGGAAAACTGTTGACGCTGGACTAAAAAGCTGTGTCCCTGCACATAGAGTGAGTGATCCTCCATGTGATTCCGAGTTAGATCGTGAGAGGGTGCTGTGTTCTCACACTCTTGAGTTGTGATTCGGTCAGGATGTTCAGTCTGACCTCCTCGCAGTGACTAAAGTAGCAGTGAACATTCCAACC